ATATTTTACATAGCAAGAAAAGTTTATTGTGGAGGTAAGGCAGGGGGAGGTAAAGAGAGGCCAAAGGAAGCAACCAGAAGAGATTGTTGTTGATCTATACCTTCTGCTCTATCCCTACCCTCAGTAGTCCCTTTCCATACCCAGATCCCTCAGTGATGCCTGGGATCCAGCTGTTACACAGGCTCCTAGCCCACGTGGTACAACTACACTTCAGAAGGCAGCCACTGGAAATTAATTAACAAGTATTTATAAGGTGCCTCCTATGTCCTGGGCACTGGGCTAAGATAACAACTACAGAATGAAGGCCACAGGACCTTGGAGGAAGGGAGGTCATGAAAGGCATGGATACTGGGGGATAGAAATATGGTCTATGCAAAGGAGTGGGGATTTCTCATGCAAGCACAAACACTCTGCAAGAAAAGCAAATGCTTCCCCTGATCACCCCCATTCTTCTTTGTGCCTGACCACCATTAACTCTTACTATAAAAGGGAGATATGTTTCATTCTCCAAGATCAAGATTGTTCATTGCAGTTCCTCAGAATTTGCCTGCCTTGGGCTATTTTTCATCATTGTGTTCACTGCTCTTCTGGTTATGCTTCCTCAGTATCATTTTGTGCAAAAGTCTTCCATGTTTCTCTGACCTCATATTTGTCATTTCTTATGGCACAATTAATAGTCCTTCATAGTCATATACCATAATTCACAAGATTCCAGAATTTTAGAATTGGTAGGGACCTCCACAGGCATCCAGTCCACTCCCATACTCAAAAAGGAATCCCCACTACAACATATATAACATATGGTCATCTAGCTTCTGATTAAAGATTCTAAGGAAGGTAAAGCCACCACTTCCTCAATCAATGGGCACCCATCTCATTACTACTTTTTACTGATATCACAAAAAGAGATACTATTGATACTTTATTCAGGTCCACACTTTTTGCCATTGACTTCCTTGGAGAACATGCCATTAATGTATATTGGATCAAGTTTAGAGACTTTTCTCTATAGCTCATTTTACGTTACAGAAAACAGAATTTTGTAATAAGTGATAGCTATTCAAAGCATTCCACTTTTATTAGTCTGCTAAATATTCCTACCTGTAATACAAGTATATTCCATAGTCTTTTCTCTAATTCTCCATTCAATACTTTATGGATGGAGAGTCAAAGCAATAGGATAGACAATGAGATGGGAAGAAAATCAATGCATTGCCTTTCTTCTTTTTAAAATAATTCATTATGTTTCCCCTAAACTGCTCTCTTCTTTATTAGTTTTAATAAGCATAACATACCTATAGTATTTGGTGACCTCACTTCAATCTATGCTTTAACTTTTACTGGATTTACAATTACTTGAAATAATGAGTAAATAAATGTTTTCACCCTGTATGGTATTCCATCTTCATCTCTTAAGCCTTTGTATAAATTGTCCCCCATACCTACAGTATACTTCTTCTTCATTTCTCTCTCTAAGATTCCCTAGCTCCTTTTCAGACTCAGCTTGAATGCCATCTCTTAAATAAGAGCTTTCCCCATCCTCTCTGTTTTTAGCCCCACCCCACCCCTACCTTACCTTGCACCAATGTTACTTTTATTTCCATCGTTCATATTTTTCACTTACCTATTTGTGGACGTGTTTTCTATCAGCCAATCAACAAACATTTTTAAAATGCCTCCTGAGTATCAAGCACTATGCTAGGCACACCAGTAGACTATAAACTCCTTCAGGGGAGAGACATTCCCAATAGAATGCACATAATTTACTTGTTGGTATACATATTGTTTCCTCCAGTAAATGTAAGCCTCTAAGGCTCTTCTGTTTTTGTCTTTGTGTACCAAGTGCTTAGCACAATGCTTGTCACATAGTAGGTGCTTAATAAAATGCTTGTTGAGTGAATGAATGTTTACGTGAAAATGCTTGTCCCTGTGCGCTATTCTACTTTGCCACTGATTAGGGAGGGGTGATATGTTTCCCAGACACTCTGCTCAATCTGATTAGAAAGATTTGTTCCATCCTTTGGAGGATACTTTTTAAAACACTGTGCATGTACATTTTCCTGAGAGATGTGCCATGCTTCAGTCTATATTGATTTATCAATACACAACCTCTAGAGGTTTTAAAGGTCTCTCCCTTTTAATTATGCCCTCCTTGTCTTCCTCATCTCCTGAAATACACCCCAATATGCAAAGATTTAATCTTGTGGCATCCATCCTAGGCAGTTACATATACCTATAACCTTACATGATTAATGAGATTTGGCTAAGGATTCTTGGTTCTGACTGAAGTTCAAGTAGAAGTGCAAAAAGGAGGTAAAGCACAGATGCATTTTAAGAAATTGGCATATTATAATGTATCTGAATGAAATGCAGGTCTGCTATAGCAGGATTGGGTTGAAATATGACATGCCTAAGGTTACACAGTTTCATAGACAAAAGCAAGGTATTTAGAAGCTATGTTGATGTGCTATGCAAAGACCAGACTTACAGGAAGGAGCCCTGGGTTCAGATCCCAACTTAACCACTTACTAGCTATGTAACCCTGAAGTCAATTTACTTCTAGGAACCTCAGTTTGATTTGTTCCTAAGATAAGGGTTGGAGGGAACAGAGTGTCAGTAAAAGGCTGGTCTTCCACCCAACACAGACAAGCTATAGAACCATGGGAAGAAATCGCAGTGCTCCTGATGGGGTTGGAATCTGAGCCCCAAAGAGGAAAACTCTGGCCCTGATGGGGTTGGAATCTCGGCCCCAGAGAGGAAAAACCCTGGACTTTCCCACATGGCCAAATCTCTGGCATTCCCCTGAGGCTATAACCCCATCAACTGGTCTTTCATTGTGGCTACACCCAATCTCCTCTCCATTGTCTTGCCTCCCTATGGCCCCAGGCCATTTCCCACCCTTGGTCCCACCTAGGCTCCATTTCCCACCCTTGGGAATTCTATTACCTCATGGACTACTTGGCCACTCTCCCATGGTCTTTCTGTATATAAAGTCCATCTTGTCTCCATTAAGATGCTCAGATTTTTACAATCTAGCCAATAGCCCATAGATGCTCAGACTCCTTAAGAGTCTAGCTAATATGGCGAATCCTCAATAAACTTTGTTTTTGGCTGCAAGAAAGGTTGGGTCGAATTCTTTCGGGCAGGACCCAGGTATCGTGATTTTGGGGTGCCAGGACCCCTAACCTTTAGACCGCATCACCCCCAAGTAGCACTCTGTGACAGTAAATTACAGCCTTAGCATAGTGTCTGACACATAGCTGCTGTTTAATTAATGCTTCTGGAGGGAATGACTGACTGATTTGAAGAGATCTGCATCTCTTTCAGTGAAGGGAGTTTCCCCAGTAGAAGTTTCCTCTAAAGGATGGAATCACAGAATCCCAGGTCCAGGCATCAAATAAAATAAAATAATGATAACAACAACAACAACAATAATAATAATATTTGCAGAGTTGTTGTGAGGAAATCACATTACGAACTTTAAAGTAAATTGTGAGTTATTTCTTTTGCTCTAGAAAAACAATGAAGACTCAGTAGTAATGAGCTAGACCCTGATTCATGGGTGGGTTTAGATTATTAAGAGAGAGACAGAGAAGGCATTTCAGGAAGAAGATGAAATATTCTTCTGAGTGCTTGCAATGTGCCTGGCATTGTGCCATCTGAATGCTAGGCAACAGAAATTGTAGTAATACCAAAGAAACAATGTCTGCTCTCAAGGAGCATGTATTCTCCTGGCCGATAACAGGTGCCCCTATAGGCATATACAGAATGAATATAAAGATAATAAATGCAAGGTAGTTAAATATGACGTAGTTAGGAGGGAGGGTGTAACATTAGAGATCAGGAGAGGTCATGCATAGAAGGGAATCCTTAATTTGCATATTGAGGGAAGAGAAGGATACTGAGGCAGGGTTATAACATGCACAAAAAGGAAAAAAGGTATAAATGAGCAAAATCCATCCTGTCATAATGCATAAGGGAGTAGTGAAAAATAAGGTTGGGGCCCAATTATGGAAGACCTTAAAAATCTGAGATATGGAGTATGGGATTTATCCTATAAGCAGAGGGGAATTATTAAAGGGTTTCCTGCAAGAGAGTGTTGGTGATGAAAGCCAAGTTTTAGGTAATCAGTTTGACAGTGGTGGGAGAGTGAATTTAAGCAGGAAGAGGCTGAGGACAGGCTAACCTTTCACGATTGTGAAATGTAGAATTTAAAAATTTCATTGGAATGAAAAACCAAACTCTTGGAAATGCTGATACATTCTCCTGCTAGTGATGTCAAATTCATCTTAAGATCAATGAGATCGGTCATTGGGAAATAAAAAATGCAGTGTTTTAGAGTAAAGGCAGTTAGTCTCTCTGAGCCTCAGTACCTCCATTTGTAAAATTAGGATAATAATAACAGTACCTGCTTCACAGAGTTGTTGCAAAGAAGAAATAACAGTGCATGCACAGTGCTTCACAAACCTTAAAGGACTACATAAATGAATTATTATTAATATTACTGTCTCACAAAAATCTAGAGGCCTTCCTCTTTGGCACGCATGGAGTTGAATTCATTATTTTCCTGAACAAGAAAAGATAACAGTTTGTCTTCTGAGGATACTCAGCTTAACTGCTAGGTATAACCGAAAGTATAGTAGATTGTCTTGCTTCCAAGTTATTCTTATCAGTGAATACTTACGCTATGAAATGTAATGTATATTGTTTTATCTCTTCCGACTGGATAACTATTTTAACTCATGGGTTCTGTAGAAAGGAGTTGCCACTCCATGACTAAAGTCACTTAGGTAAAAGAAACATTTAAGCAATCAATGGAGAGGTACTGTCAATTGATACGTTTCCCCAATTTGTTCTTAAATCCAATAGCCTACAGGAAAGCCATGGTCACAGAGGTGGTATCTGAATCCTCTTCTAAATGACAATGTGACTTACAAGGTAGATGAATGTTCACCATGTTTCCTTGGTATGAGCCTGATCATTTTGTTCACCTTCCACAGTGAGCCACCTCTATGGATTTGGGCTGATGGATGCAGAAGCCATGGTGATGGAAGCTGAAAAGTGGACCACTGTCCCCCAGCAGCACGTGTGTGTGGAGAGCACTGACCGGCAAATCAAGTAATACCCTGAAGCGCACATATATGATGATAATGCCTTCAATTATATTTCAAACACTGGCTCTTAATAGCTGTCTTGTTTGGTTGTCCAGGGAAGCTAAAGTGCCTTTCCATGGAATGGATGGAATCTCAGGCTAATATATCAATGACTCAACAAAGTATTTAGTAAATGTTTACTATGTGTGATGCAATGGAAATTAAAAGATGAAGTGGAAATAGTGCCTGCCCTCAAGGAGCTTACATTCTTTTTTAAAAATTTTTTTTCACTTACCAAGCATTTATTTTTTTTCCTTTCATCTTCTTCCCTCCAATTGAAAAAGAGATAGGACCAGAGAGCAACAGAGTCAGGCAAGGAGCAAAGGGGAGGGAAAGGTGGGGGAGAGGAGGGAAGGAAGGAAAGAAAGGAAGGGAGGAAGGAAGGAACAAAGGAAGAAAAGAAGAAAAGAAAGAAAACATAATACTCATAGTTGAGCAAAATAAATTCTCCCATTAGCCATATCTGAAAATGTTTTTGATTCTACATCCTGAGTCCATCCCTTTCTCTCTGGAGGTGGGTAGCTCCTCCTCATGGTTTATCTTCATCATTGATCTTTTGGAATTATGGTTGGTTATTACATTAATCGTAGTTCTTAAGACTTTCAAAGTTGTTTGCCTTTACAATGTTGTTGTTATTTTATAAATGGTTCTTCTGGTTCTGTGCCCTTCACACTCTGCAGGTGGTGGAGGATCTTACATTCTAATGGGAGAGATGATCTGTACATAAGTAGGTATATACAAATTGCACCTAGAATAGGTAGAGGGAAGCTTAAAAGGAAAGGCACTAGCAGAAAAGGTCATTTGTAGATGATGTTTGACCCATGTCTTGAAGGAAGCCAAGGACTCTAAGAGCTGGAGTTGAGGAGACTGGAAAGATGGGAAGGGTCCAAGGAGGGAAGATCTTTAAATGCTAAAGGAATTTATATTTGATCCTAGAGTTAACAGGGAAGTGCTGGAGTTTTACAGAGTGGAGGGCCTCTTTCAAGAATTCACACCATTGTGTGGAGGTGACCTTGAAGGTCTCAAAGACCAGTCCAGCGGATCTCACTCTAGCAGGCTGTTCCAAGAAGGAAAGAATTGTAGTGTGTACATGCCCAACTTTGGACCTTGTTTCTGTTGTTCAATGACCAGCCTAGTTTAAGAAGCATACTCATCTTTTCAGTCACATCAACTCAGGAAGATTATCTACTAAACTATGAAAGGATTACAATTTGTCTCTGTTGAGGGACTAATAGACCCCTAAGAATAATTTATCTTTTAAAGAATGACTGCAAATCTTCTGAAGGTTGACTTTGCAAGTCTTCCGGGCTCATACTTTTTGTATCTGTTGGTATGCAGGGTTAATTGTCCCTGCATTAAAAAGATTGTAGGACTTAGAGTTAGAAAAGATCTTAGAGATTTTTGAGTACAACCACCTTATTTACAGATGACTAAATGTAATCAATGACCTCAAATACTACAGAGTTAACACTCTCTCCCTCCTGAAATTATCTTGCATTTATTTCTGTTTATAGAATGTCTACAATAAAAAGAGTAGAAATTCTACGGTAGTAGATTTCTACAATAGGTGTCTCTACTTTCTCTCCTCTCACTCTCTTTTTAACCCCTTACAATCCAGCTTCTGACCTCATCATTCCACTAAAACCGCTCTCTCCAAAATTACCAATAATCTCTTAATTGCTAAATCCAGTGGCCTTTTCTTATTCCTCAGTCTCCTTGACCTCTCTGCAGTCTTTGACACTGGTGATCACCCCTTTCTCCTCTCTCTAGCTTTTCAGGACAAGACTCTTTACTGGTTCTCCTCTTACATATCAAACCTCTCCTTTTCAGACTTCTTTGCTGGATTCCTTATGGGGATTATGTCCTCTAACCATAAGTGTCCGTTAGGGTTCTATCCTGGTCCCTCTTCTCTTCTCCATCTATACTACTTCATTTAATGATCTCATCAGCTCCCATAGGTTTATTTTTTTTTATTTTTTTAAACTTAAATACTAAAACTTAAATATACAATAAGAAAGGAAAAAGAAATAAATTATAAACTTAAATACAAAATAAGAAAAAAAAAACATTGCTCTGTTCACATCAGAAAGCAAGAGAGGATTCAAAATATACAGCAATAAATTTCCATTTCAAGAAAACCTATATAATAAATACTATACATTGTATTCCCCATAGGTTTAATTACTTCCCCTCTGCTGATGATTCTTAAATCTACCTAGCTTTCCCCAACCTCTCTGCTGACCTCCAATCTCACATCTCCAACTGCCTTTCAGACATCTTAAACTGGATGTCCAGAAGACATCTTAAACTCAACATGTAAAAAACAGAAATCATCATCTTTCTCCTCATCCCCTTTCCCCCTCCCAACTTCTCCATTACTATCAAGGGCTCTACCATCCTTCCAGTCCCTCAGGCTCCCAACTGAGGTGTTATCCTCAGATCCTAATTATCTCTCACCCCATATCCAAACTGTTGTCAAAGCCTATCGATTTCACCTTTGCAACATCTCTTGAATATGCCCCCTTTTCTCCTCTGATTCGGCCACCACTCTGGTGAGACTCTTACCATCTCACGCCTTCATTACTGCAGTAGCCTGCTGGTGGGTCTGCCTGCCTCTAGTCTCTCCCCATTCTAATTCATCCTCCATTCAGCCACCAAAGTGATTTTCCTAAAGTGTAGTCAGGTCTGACCATGTTAACTCACTCTACTCAATAAACTTCGTGGCTCCCTGTCACCTTCTGGAACAAACACAAAATGCTCTGTTTGATGTTCAAAGCCCTTCATAACTTAATTCACTCCTACCTTTCCAGCCTTCTTAAAACTTGTTCCCCAACACATAGTCTTCAGTCCAGTGACACTGGCCTCCTGGATGTTCCATGAACAAGATACTTCATCTCCCAGCTCCAGGCTTTTCTCTGGCTATCCCTCATGCCTGGAATGCTCCACCTCCTCTGCTCTGACTCCTGACCTCCCTGCCTTCCTCTAAATCCAACTAAAATCTCACCTTTTCCTGAAAGCCTTCTCTAATCCTTCTTAATTCTAGTGCCTTCCTTCTTTTAATTATTCCCTTCTTATCCTATATATAGTTTGTTTGCACTTATTTCTTTGCTTGTTGTCTCCCCCGTTGGATTGAATTCCTTAGGAATGGGAACTGTCTGGTGTTTCTTTTTGTATCTCCAGACTTAAGCATAATGCCTGACACATAGGAGGTGCTTAATAAATGTTTAATGGCTGATTGAATGAGTATAAACTCCTTGAGGGCAATGATTGTTTTGCATTTCTGTCTGACACGGTGCTTTGCACATAGGGGGTGTTTAGATGCTTGTGAAATTGAATTGCATTTGCCTTTCAATATCTGTGAAATGACACTGTTATCATCTTAGGAACCATCAAGGACAAGCTTCATACTCTGAGGTTGATGACCTGATGTAGAACCAATTCTGATTTTGTGGGAATAATAACTGGCTTTGATGCTTTCCATCTGTTCCAGAACCATACGACCCAGCAGTGCCGTCCGCTCCATTTACAAAGCTTCTGGCTGCTCCGACAACCCCAACCACCATGTGAACTACCTGGAGCATGTGGTCGTACGCATCACCATTACCCACCCTCGAAGGGGAGATCTGGCCATCTATCTGACCTCACCTTCAGGAACCAGGTCCCAGCTCTTGGCCAACAGGTAGGCTTATGGTCCTCCTGCCTTAACTTCTTTCATTCTGTTTATTACACATTCCTGTGATCACAGATTGGTATGATGTAAAAATAGAACCAATGTTAGAGAAAGAAGATCTAAATGTGAACCCTAGATTTGACCCTAGCTGTGTGACCCTCAACCTCTCTAAGCCCCAATTTCTTCATCTGTAAAATCAGGACAATAATACTTGTACTACTACTTCACAGGTTTGCTATGAGGAAAATGCAGTGGAAAGAGTACAGGCTTTGGAGGTAGAGGATTTGCTTTGATATCCTGCCTCTGCCATTTAATATATGTGTGACCTTGGAGAAGTCATTTCATTCCTTTGTTGTTGTTCTTGTTTGTAAAATAAGAGGATTCGACTAGATGGCCTTGGAGGTTAGCTGGAAATCTCTGATCTTTTGAACCTGTGAACCCCAGAGGGCTACTATATACATGTGAATTTTTACTCTAGTGCTTATGACAAATCCCAGCCTGTCTTTAGAGATAGGACCAGGCAGCACTTTCATCCATAGGAGAAGACTGAGAAGGAGTTTATCTGTGAAGATGATGTTGGGTAGGTAGATCACTAGGAAGGTAAGCATTCCCAATAAATAAAAAAAGTTGGCTGAGCTATTGGGGGAGTGGGTAAGAAGGGGAATTGGAGAAACTATTTATTTAAGTAGTTACTACTTTTATTGTAAGGGGAGTAATTTATAGGTATAAAAGAGCTTGCAGTTTGTTGGAGTGATAAGGGTTAAAAATGTTACAGGAAAACTGGAAATCCCCTTATGGACTTTCCTTTTACTTAAGTTCCTTTGTTGTTTTTCCTTCTAACTTAGACCGTTGGATCCCAATATTCCATGTTTTTTCTTCTTTATTCCTCTTCTCTTCAACTAAATCTAGTTGACTTGCTGCCTGGGGCAATTTATTGAATAATGCAGTCCAAGTACTTGCTTTCTCAGGTCACAGGGAGAGACAGTGGTACAAAGAAAAAGAAACCTGGTTTGGGGATCTGAGGACATTGTTTCAAACCCTAGATCTACCACTTACTAACTTATTGCCTGAGTAACTTTGAGTAAGTCTCATTCTCTCCCTCTCTGTCTCTGTCTGTCTCTCTCTCTGTCTCTGTCTGTCTCTCTCTCTGTCTCTGTCTCTCTCTCTGTCTCTGTCTGTCTCTGTCTCTGTCTGTCTCTCTCTCTCTGTCTCACACACACACACACACATCTATAAAATGGGAAGGTTAGACTAGATTTCTTCTAAGGTCACTTTCAGCTCAAAAGCTGAGAGCCTATGAATTCCTATTGTTCTATCAGAATCTCTCCTCGGGCCTCATTTCTCTGAACCTCAGCATCTCCTCTGCATTATTCCTGCTCCCCCATCTTCAACCCCCACATTTTCCTTATTCTATTAATGCAGGCCAGGATCCTACAAGAGGAAGAGAAGCATTGGGCCTCAAAGGCTCAAGTCCTCTCCCAATCAATCAACAAGCATTTATCACATGCTTACTATCTGCCGTCATATATGGTTTGACACTGGTCTTCATAGCCTCCAGATGATATCAGCTCACCTTATAGGCCTCACTTGTCAAGAAACTGGAGATAATGTCTGCTAATAGAAGGAAATCCCCATTGTTCATTCCCTCGCTTGAGCTGATGAGGGGCTAAGACAAGACGACTCTAGGCAAGGGCTAGTTCAGGGGTGGGAAACCTACAGCCTTGAGGCCGCAGGTTCCTCGCCCCTGACTAGACTATGACAGACTAACCAGGCCCTCATATTCCTGAGGTTAAGGGAGGATAAGACCCTAGAGCCTGAGTTGTACTTATACTTATGTACTTCAAGGATTTATTTTTAGTCAGCCAAAGACAGTCCTGATGATGCAAGTCACAGCCCCTCTGTCCTTTTGTATATATCAGTTAATCAATAAGCATTTATCAAGCACCTACTATGTGCCAGGCTTTGTGCTAGATCCTGGGGAGAAATACAAAAATGAAATAGTGCCTGCCCTCAAAGAGCTTACATTCTATCAGGAGAAATGCCACATATACATACAAATACATACATAATATGTACAAAGTAATTTTAGGGAAGGGGGATCAGAAAAGAACTATGTAAACAGTATCACTTGAACTGAGTTTTGAAAGAAGCTGGAAATTCGAATTGCTGAGTTAAAGAGTGAGTGTATTCCAGATTTGGTGAGTAGCCTGCGCAAAGTCACTGAGGTGGGAAATGGAATGTTATACAATATGTGGGAAAAAATTTGCCTGAAATGTAAAGCGATGGAGATAAAATGTAATAGTCTGGTAAGACAGGCAAAGTAGAATGCCAAGTAGAAAAGATTTTGCTTTACTCTAGAGGCAACAGGGAGCAATTGGAGCTTCTTAAGCAGAGGAGTGATGTGGCCAGCCCTGTACCTGAAATTATATTAGTGGGTCAACTATGTGGAGAAGGGATTGGTAAAGGGAAAGACTTCAGGTGGGAATCCAATTAGGAGTCTGTTTCAGTAGTCTAGATGAGAGAATATAAGGGTCTGAACTAGGTTAGAGGCCATGTGAATAGGAAAAAATGAATAGAAGCCTCTGATTGATAAGACTTGGCAGCCAATTGGATAGAGAAGGAGGGGAGAGGGACAGTGAAGAGTTGAGGATAGTTCTAAGGTTACAAACCTTGATGACTAGAAGGATGGTTAAGCCTTCCCCAGAAGCAGAGATTTTAGGAAAGAAATGGTCTTTGAAAGTTGCTGTGGCCAAAGAATTCATCAGTATGTGTCCAACCTCCAGATGAGCTTCTCCAAACTTAACTGGGCTAATCCTCAGATAACCTTAAGTAACTTATATTCACATACACACATGTGTGTGCATATACATATGTAGATATAGCTATGTGTACATATATGTATGTATGTGAGTATATGAGAGGTGATGTGTTGTTCTTTGTATGTATTAATATATGTATTTATAAGTATATAACTGTAAGATTATATGAGAGGCAATGTTATAGTTTGTATTTATATGTATATGTGTCTGTGTATAAATGAACTCAGTTCAAGTGATACTGCTTATATGAGTTCTTTCCTGATCTCCCTTCCTGAATTTACTCTGTGCATGTGTGTGTTTATGTATGAAGTGTATGAATAGGATGATTATGGGATAAGGATACAGATAGGGATAAAGATAAAGATAGAGACAGAGAGGGATAGGGGTGGCGGAAAGGGAAAGGTGGAAAAAGCAGGGCAGCAAAGGTGAGACTTTCTGGGTGACAGTGACTAGGAATGCCAAGTTGGATTTTTCAAGTGGCATTTTATGGTGCTTGAAAGACTTGCTCTCATTCTTCTCTCAAAACTAAATTCTTCTTGCTGTCAGAGCAAGGAGTGAGAAGCCAATTCCTAATTTTTTAAACAGGAACTGCAGCCTTGCCAAAATAAACTCATGCAGGTGCAAAGCAGCAATACTCTGGCATCAGATCAATTGGGGGCTTCCCCCCTGCTCCCCTTTCTCAAAAGACAAAGCTCTCTCAGCTGCCCCTGTGAGAATGTGGCTACCTGACCCAAACCTTCCTTCCAAGTCGAGCAAGGCCTCCTGATGCAGAATTATATGATTAATGGAGGCTGTACCAGCTGTTGTTTCTGAACCCAACAGTAAAGGCTCTTTCTTCCTTTTTTTTTCCTTTATCCATTATTCATCTGGGTTTCATTTGAAAGAGTATGCTGGTGAAATGCTGAAGTGCAAAGGTATGTTTTACACATGTGGAGATCTTATCCCCTGCTTCTAGAAAAAACAGTCCCTCCTTATACAGTTGCTGTTTGCTTAGGCCGGCGAGCCCCCTTGGCACTCTCTAGCCCCCTCCTGCATATTTTGCTTTTCGATGCTGGCTTCCCCTGAAATGACTTCAGCGAGGAAACTTGTGAGTCAGAGGCTCTATGGATTCTATCACAGGCATTTGGCAGATGACATCGTCACTGGCTTCAATCTGCCTGAGCATTCTTCAGAAACCAGTCTTACAGGGAACATCTGCTTTGTTGTTTCCAAAGTGCTGAATATGAATGTGCGGGGGTGATGGCCTTCAAGAGAAGAGCAACAGAGATTCCAGAAAGTCAGCAGATATATCTCCAAACATCTTCCTCCTTCCTCCCCCTACCCCAGCCTCAAGAACCAGGATCCATCTGGGCATCAGCCTGTGGCATCCTGAGAGGACCTCCTTGGGCTAGAGTAAATAGTATCCCCTAGATATGCTCCATGGGAAAAATTGAGCTCAGATGGAGCAGAGGGAGGAGAGAGCATTGACTCTCTTGTCAGAGGTTGTGGGTTCATATCCCACCTATGATGCTTACCACTGGTATGATTTTGGGAAAATCACTTAACCTCCTTGGGTCTCAATTTCCTCATCTGTCAAATAAGGGAGGTTGGAATAGATGAACTCTGAAGGTCCTTCAGGATCTATGAGCCCTTGAATTAACAATCCCCAAAGGAAGTAGTTTCAGTATTTAAGAAAAAAAAGGGCAGGGCTGGCACCCAGTGATGCAGATTGAGCCCTGTACTCATTTATCTCCCACCAAAAAAAAAAAAAAAAAAGGGAAAAAAGAGAAAGTCAGTCAGTGCTTGCTTGCTCCTGACCCTTTAAATATAAAACAGCTGCTGGCTCTTAGAACTACCTAAGTGCCTGAGCTTTTAACCACATGGCTGCAACATTCCAGGCCTCCAGTTCCCTATGGTTGTATGTTCCTGCCGTTAGTAGGATCCCTCCTACTGATGTGACAGGCATGAGGGTGTGCTTCTTCTGACATCTTTTCTGACCAGTGAAATTCCAAAGTGTTCATTTATTAGAGGAAGTCCCAATTCCAACCTTTGCCATATCTATCTGATGCTGTTACACAAAACTTTCATTAACTTTCATTTGGCATTGTTTTAAAATGTGTTCTCTGTGTTAGAGACTAAATGAAGAAGGTATAGATAGTATTGAAAGGAAACTGGTTTACCCCTGTGGTGAGATTTGCATTCAGAACAAAG